CGATCCAAAATACTCGGGGTGGAATTTTGACCAATTAAGTAATTCCGTAGCAAACAGCAAAATCGGCTGTTCACAATGCCTACTGTGTTAATATTTCAAACAGAATCTCGTTAACTAATCTCTGCTGACATGTTCGTATATACTGTATATCAATTGGTATGTGTTATACGCTAGATTTTTGAATATTAGAATTGATGAAACGACGTAGCAGAGCAACTGTCTTGATTCAGTGGAACAGCGCAGTGAATTTATTCGTTGGTCTTTGCTAGATTGCCAATGTTATCACTTGTTTGATTTATCCTGGTGTAGCAATTCGACGAACAAACGTAAGGCCAAACGTGTTTATTCAAATCATTTCAATCTCGTAAACTTTCATAGTAATAGTAAGTGAGCGTAATCGTCAATCTACGCTACCATATCTCAACACGTTTTTTAACAAACGCTTTACTGTTTAGCCAGTTGAGCTGTATCATAAAAATTCTTTGTACTACCAACATCTGGAAAGTACACACTTGCGTTTTCCATAGCGTTCAAGTATCTGTATGGAAAATGATCTTTAAGAAAAGCCGGCGTCATATCATGTATCTTTTTCCAACGGGATCCTGGAAGTTTGTTCTTTTCGTCCAAACTCTCTACCGGTCGATTATTGTCGTTCGGCTGAAGCCAATACTCGAATTTTGTCTCTGGTTTACGTCCATCCTGGAAGAATTTTATAGCTTCCCCAACGTGCGTGTAGTCAAAAAGATAATTTTCGCCAGCGAATCGAAGTAGATCGGGATCGTCAAATCCAATAGGCACCCGACAGACAATGTCTTTGTCGCAGACTACGCGCCAGAGAGTATTGAAGCGAGAGGATGGCGAATTACATTTAGAGGCAAAGTTAACAGCATACTGACTGTTACCAATGCACGGTGTTCCGTAGACGTAGGCATCCCTATGCGAATGATATATCGAAAGAAAGGAAGAGCAAATGATGCGTTTTAAATATCAAAGAAAGTTATCATAATTATTAATAATGTATTCGTTATGGACTACTTCCAAGTTCAGGTTGATCAACAACATTGGCCAATTATGCTCGTCAGCCAGATGTCAATCGGTGAAACAAAGTTCCCGCTAGCCATTTTCCTACCTTAAGATACACCCATCCGGTAAATCTGCAGGGCTGCTCATTAATCTCGAATAGAACAAAGTTGCAAGTGCACTTCCTAGCGAATGGCCCGTAACCCAAACGTTTATCTTCTCTTCCGACACCGAATTTGAAGCGCTTTTAGTGCTACCATGAGCATACGTCCGGTTAGCGCGAATCTCTTTCATAATCTCGTGCAGGTTGGCCAATATGGTCCTATACGAATAATTCTCGATCGACTTGGAGCGTCCCTTGAATGAATCTCCAAACAAAGTTTTGTAAAAACCTTCATGTACTTCACCGAACAAATGTGTCCTGGCATCAGTGCGCATAAAAGTGGCATCGATCAACCATTCGGAAAAGTCACTCGGTGATGTTCCTTTAAACGCGATAACGATAAAGTTTTTCTCCCGATGAAAGAACGCGCCGCAAAACGGACTGGCACCTGCTCCTAGTTCGGATAATGTTCTGAATTTTAACTTCCAACTCTTGGCGGTTTTCTTGATGAATTCGTTGTAAGGAGCCGACTCGGTGACGTGGGTAGGGTAACCGGTCTGGCCCAACTCTTTGGGGTCCTTGCGTTCATATATGAGAGCAGATAAAACTAGCAAACATTTCGCAACGTGTATGTTGAAAGATGGGCGAGAAAAGCGCTCGTCCTTGTAGTCGCTGTAAGTTGTTATCTTTAATACGTCATCACATCTGAGAGAGATTGGGTCTTCGAGAAAATCGCCAGCAGCATCTATAAGAGCCTTCTTATCTTTCTCAAACATCTCTGGATAATCTGATAGAACAAGAGATTAAAGCTCGTGAGATGAATGAGTATCAAAGATGTATATACCAGACTAGAAGTTTCATAAATGAAACCCCGTACATACACCAGTTGCACATAGATAGTTTGTTATTTGTCTGTCCAAGTCTGTATTTTTCAGCAATATAAAAAGCTACGGCAAACATGGCCATTACCAAACAGACAGTCGGATACATAGTCAGAGTTGCAAACGATGCCACAGGATGGCGAAGGATTTGCGTCCAGTCAAAGACAAATGTCAGGACGAGAATTTTGAAGCAATGGACAAAGTATTTCAGAACAGGTTTGAAGGAAGAATCATTTCTGGCAGATGTTCTGATAGGGGAGGTTCTTGTAGGTAAGATAAGAGGTGAAGACGAGGAGGACGACGAAGGAGAGTCGAAGCTCTGGCGTGACGAGTATTCATTATCCATTACGTTGATGTTGAGATATCTGATGCTTTTGCGCGCCTATGAATAGAGTGTTATAAAACGTTTGGATCTTATATAATATTACATATATATGTATATAATGTTGGCAATTTGAAATTCGCTTACCTTTAATCAATTTCTTTGTAAGATATTTCGACTCGCACTCGTTCTTATACAAGGTTTAAGCTTTCCAATAATGATCACATGTTAATTCTCGTTTTCGATGACAGCAAACATGTTTCTTCCCAATATGCTCGGGTCCCGTTGAACAACATCTGATTACAGCGCAAAATCAGGTAGTATCTATGTCTATCGTTTGCTGCGTCTGCGAGAAGTTCAACAAAGATACGAGTCGAGCTCAAACTCCCGATTTGAAAGGATCTGCATTATCAGCATGTGAAGATAACTAAGTCACTCGATAGGGAAAGTTAAATTTCGAGAGATTTTTACCTGTTTTGGCACTATGGCCTGTACCAGCTTTGGCACGTCCATATATAGGCCCGTGCGCTTTACTAATGATACCGCCAAAATTACAGCTGTCATTGTCGATAAAAATAATGTTCGAATACTAATTTATGACTAGCAATGTCGCGCGTCAAAACGTACCAACAATTGGTGAAAAGCTCCTAACAATCGAATTCGAGCAATACAAATCTGATTGTGAAAACGCGATCCAATTTTGGAAACACTATTTCACGGTTAAATTGGTGGTTTACAATGGTATGACATTCATTGCATTTCTACGTACAATAAAAATGGCTCCAAATATTTTAGCAAATTATGCAATTTATTGGTGTATTCCGTGAGTGCAAGCGATAGAGTCTTCGCAGCATTGCAATCTTAATCGTTCAATTATTTAAAGCTTAAATCAGGAGTGAGTAATTATTCCATTGACAAAATAGCAAAAAATAATGTCCAATTAAACAGTAGTTGAAGGTCAACTGATGTTATGATTCATTGTTCTTGAATTGCCTCTGGTACATTTCCGCAACCTAAAAGAGTCGAGAAATGAGCATGCGTCTATGCACGGTAAACCAGTAATGATGGTTTTGTATGACTCACCATATCACTTGTTGTAGCATCTTCTGGTTTTTTATCTTCCCTTATTCGAATAAACCTTGGAAATCGTAGCGATATGCCCTTCGATGGATCGCACTAATACAACATAGGTTTCAGACTTACATCGGAATCTGATTCATTGTTCAAAACCTTCAATAGTTACTTACCGTTCCAACTGCCGCTTTGTACACTGGGGATATACTCAAATCTGCTGCAAGAACCTCCCATACAACATTTGGCTCGAACCACACATCCGGCTTGGTTTTTTCATCGAAATTATAATACCTTTTAGGACCGTCAATCACATGCCCACTAAAGTGTTTGTAGAAAT